AGGAGGAGCAGGAGCAGGCACCTGATGGCGAGGAGGAGCAGGAGCAGGCACCTGATGGCGAGGAGGAGCAGGAGCAGGCACCTGATGGCGAGGAGGAGCAGGAGCAGGCACCTGATGGCGAGGAGAAGGAGGAGCAGGCACCTGATGGCGAGGAGAAGGAGGACGAGCCTAAGGGAGCAGAGTCTGTGAAGGAGACGGTAGAGGAGTCTGAGGATGCTCGACAGGAGGAGGAGGAGAAGGTGAGAAAACAAAAAAGTTGAAACAAATATTAAAGCCAAAAGTGATTCCTGGAATTAAACCGAATTGCACACAGGTTACCGATGATGTCACTAATGACACACCTGGAGACACGGGTGAGGTCAAGCAGGAGGCGGAGTCAGAGCCACAAACAGAAGCGGCAGAAATAGAAACCTTGGCCAAGGAGCACAAGGGCAAACCGGAGATGAACATGGAGGCAGCAGAGAGCTCGGAGGCTCCGGAGGCAGCGGAGGGAGATCTACCCGAAGAAGAGGTGACGCATCTGCTCTGTCCTTCAGTCTCTAATCCAGGAGTGGCACAGGTGTGTTAATGATGTCTCTTCCAGCAGGACTTCCCAGAGAACATGGAGGACTTTGTGACGCTGGACGAGCTGGAGGAAGACAACGACGAAGCCCACGGAGAGTCGGACAATATCGGTACCTGATCAGATCAATATTTAGAGATCAAAGTTAACACTTGTACCTGTAATCTGCTGCAGCACCAGCTTTTCCTTAAAAAAGTCATTTTCCTTCATGGATGTGAGGACGATGTCTTCAATTGGAAAAAAAGGTGTTTGAAATTAACGCACATCTTCCTCTCTGTTTGTGTCTCCTCTTCTCTGCAGACAACACGAGGCGAGGGGTACGTACCCGAGCGCCGTCGCTCTGATACCTTTAATATTTGACTTCATGTTTCTGTGGATCACTGCATCTCAAGAATCTCAGTTTTTCACTTTATTAATACATTTGAAATATTTTCACCTTTTCTGTGGTCCATTATTTTACAACTGAAGGGTGGAGAGCTCACTGTGTATTGGTGAATTAATGACTCCCTCAAGTTGAGTAGTTCAAATGGTTTGTGAGTGAGGGGAGATTGACAAAGTTCAACTGCAATTGAACTTTTGATTCGCAGTAACTTTAGTTTTATATGAAATTGCACTACTTTCGACATTTTATGAGATTTCCAACATAATCTGTGTTCGGAAACCTGTTTTCATTCACTCTGTTTCACTGGAATTTCTCAATTCTTGCTCCTCCCATCAGGGTATGAGGGTGGTGAACATCGTCGGCTTCAGGCGAGGGTACCAGTACCTCAACGAGCTGCTGAAACTCGCCCAGCCTTTCGGGAAGGTGGTCAAACACCTGGTGCTGGACCTGAGACCCGAGGTACTCTGTTCAGTGTTAAGTGAAAGTTTAATCCTGGACATTTGTATCACTGCAGTAAAGCAACTTTTTCAAATATCAGTTGAAAAATGTTCCAATTGCAAATTTGGAGAAGTGGTAAATATAGAAGTGGTAAACGAACCTGCATCCAATTGAAGTAGTTGGATATTTTCTGAAAAGTATTTTTAAATATCGCATTGTCTCCTCTCCCTCGTCAGGCATTCCTTCAGTTCGCCACAGAAGAAGAAGCACGGGCGATGGCCAACTTCTACAACGGGAACATCACAGCGTCAGTGTGCGGGCGGACGGTGAAGATCAGTCACTCCATGAGCTACCCCACCATCCAGGTGATTTATTTAACATTTTTTAACCTCCATGTTATGTTTTCATCTGATTTATTAATTTCTACAAAATTTGAAACCTGAGAATAAGGTTTGTGTCTAAAATGTTCTAAATGCATACACCTTAGCCAGACTGCAGTGGTCATTGGTTAAAGCTAAAATATAAAAAATAAATAAGTAAAATTATCTTTGAGCAGTCATTTAAAACAAACCCCAGATTCAGCTGTTCCAACGTTTACGAGCTACAACCTCGAAGTGTGATCGGCTCTGGATTTACAATAAGATCATGGATCAATTAAAAGATTCTGATCAGATGATCAAACTGCTGTTTTAAGGTTTCAGCAGGTCTACTACATAAGCAGGTGCCTGGCTGTGTTGGGCTTTATGTTTATAGTAAAACTAAAATGAATTGTGACTTACACTGGAAATCGGTGACAGGAAGCAGAATCAGAGAAGATGTGGATGTTATTAGTGTTCCAGATTATTGTGGGCCAGTAAAAATGTGATATTTGTGACATTTGTCAGATAAAAGAAACACGACTGTATGAGGACATGTCGGTGTTTGTTTTCTTCTTTGTGGGCTCATTTTCTCTGTTTGCTGTTCAGTCCGGTTCCAGCAAGGTGGTGTACATCGGGCAGATCCCCAACAGCAAATACACGGACGAGGAGGTCCTGAAGCTTGCCGAACCATACGGGAGGGTCAAGAAGTACTTCCTGAACAGGATCCGGAGAGAGGTACAGAACTGGGACAAATGCACGTCCGACCTGAATCCACATAACTCCTGCTGCTTTAAAGCCGTCCGATGCTTGTCCTCAGTGTTTCCTCGAGATGTATAATGCCGAGGACGCAGAGAAGATGGCTGCCGATTATAAAGCGAAGCCACTGAGATTCAGCGGGAAGCGCCTGACCCTCTACGTGAGCAGGAAGTACAAGCAGCTCAAACACGGGTGAGTTTCTTCTTTTTCTTCTTGTGTGCTCGCTGCACGAGTTTGATTTATTAGTTTCTCTTCACAGCAGCAGTCGTCTTCAGGCCTTTTATCTAAATGTAAACCTGGAGATGACACCTGTCTTTTACAACTTGTGGATGTACTTTGCTTTAAGCTGAAGCCTCTGAACCCCTCAATCACGTCTGTCCATTAAGCCTTAGAGTGCCGAACACCAAGAAGAGAGCGAGCGAGAGCCCGCCACTAAAATCCTCCCATGACAGCGAGGAGCCTCCAGGGAAGAAGCCCAAAGAGGAGGTCAAACCAGAGGAAGAGGAGAAAAAGGAGGAGGAAGTGCAGAGCTGTGAAGTCAGTGGTGAAGAGACGGTGATGGACGAAAATTTGGGTGCTGAGAAGCTGAAGGACAGCGAGGACGTGAGTTGTTTGTACAGCTCGTTATTGAAGCGTTCGATCAAAGACGACTTCGGTGACATCGAATTCATTTAAACATCTTTCCATCAACTGACCAGAGATTTGAGCTAATTGCTAACAATGGGGAAACTTTGTTTTTACACATTTTAATTATTTAAATACATTTTGATTAGAAATAAAACAGGTAAACAAGAGGAATCTTTTGTTTTTCTCTTTTATTTTCGCAGATGGAGACATCGACTAATCAGAATGAGCAGACAGAGGCTGTTCCTGTCGCTGTGAACAAAGCCAGCACGGCGTCTCTGCCCCTGCCGCTGTACGATCCCTCCACACCCATCGGTGAGAAAGCTTCGCCAGGTCATCGTCAGGTTCACGTCAAAAAAAACTCGCCGTCATCATCGTCATTGTTACTATTTCAGGTGTCGAACACGTGAAAGCGGGGTTTTACTGCCGCATCTGTTTCCTGTTTTACTCCAACGAAGACACGGCGAAGAAGATGCATTGCAGCAGCCAAGCTCACTACAACAAGCTGCAGGTGCCCACATAATGATATACCTTAGACCTAGCCACATTATAACATACCTGAAGTACATATGCGACACTGCCCCGCCCACATTACAGCATATGTTTGTTTTCAGAAACACCTGGAGAAGGAGCAGAGCAAAGCAGAGAAGAAGGCCGACCTGAGAACACCTGAAGCTGAGGAAGAGGCGTGAATGTCAGATTTTTTTTTTTTTTAAGGTTTTAATTTTGTTTCTTTAGCCATGTGTGAAACACACATCTGAGTGACTTCCTGCTGCTGCTCTGTGGGCTTAAAGCCTCAAAGACTCTGTTATTGATTAGTTATGTTATTGATTAGACAAAATAAAATGTTGACCAAACAGTTTTAAAAGTATAAAAACATTTTGCCTGTGGAGGTTTTTCCTTTGATTTTTGAAACATCTGGTTTTTCAAACTAACATCTGAACAATAAATTATTTTTTTAAGAGTCATAGATGTGAATATTTGTTTAACGTCTGAAACGGACTTGACTTTGTTCTTGGTTTCTCAATAAAATGTGTTAAAATTTTGTTAAAATAGACATTTTTATCTTGTATTTTTATTTATTTAGGGTTAGCTTTTTTGTAGTTTTTTTTGTTCCAAAAATAATACGATTTTTTTTTTTCATTCAAAGACATCAATTTTTCTTTGATAATTTTCAGTTTCAGTACCACATAAAGGGAAAAAAATGTACTTCGGCATGAGGCAGCATGTGGTTGGCCGGGCTTCCACTGTAATTTACCCGGTTGATCAGGTGATCCATCTACCTGGATTATTTTCTGCCAGGTAATCAACCTCACTCTCTCAACAGTTTTCCTCACTACCTTCCTCTAGTTTGACTGATGCTGCTGTACAGAAAAACAAAATGTTTAAGCAGAAATAAGTAAACCTGTGAAGCAAAAATAAATGTGAACGAAAGAGATTTATTTCCTTTCTCCTCTTATTTTTTATCCTTTTTTATCCTAAAATTACAAAAAGATGACATTCAAGATGAGAGTGTCAAGCAAAATCAAACGCAAACAAGCTTTCCCCCAGATACTACACTAACATTTTAGAGATGTTTCTAGAAATAAATCTTAATTGCCATTTATTAAATATATATTACATAAATTAACATATATGAATATTAACTGTATTTACATACAATTCATTCAAAAATGTATAATTTAAATATTAAAATAAAACTACTATTATTATATTTTATAATAATAGTTATACAAATATAAATGTTTTAAAAACGTTAAAATTGTTTTAGTAAAAATTTGAATTTTTTCCTGTTGCGTTGATATCAGTTCTCAGGTATTATTTTTTGACGCTGTATTTAAAACTGGCTGCAGATTTTTGAGCTTTCATACGATATACAAACTGAACAGACACCTTTGGTTTGATCGTTACATTCAGACACGTGATCGTACTGAGACGTACCATTAAACGGAGCACGGGGGGAGAGTCCATTGTTTAAACTTTATTCACAAGCCCTAACTGTCCTTCCAGCTCTTCGGTCTTGCTGATGATAAAAGAGTAGTTTAATTAACTAGTAATAAAGACAGGAGAACTTGCCGAGCCCTGTATTTGCACTAGAAAGAAGAAAAAGAACCGCGAAGAGCAGAGAAACCTCAGTAAAACCCGCTGTGAGTTGAGACGAAATATCGCGATACTTCGTAGTGTGCGGTTGTCTCTCACGCAGGCTCATAAATAACTGATCAAAAAGGTTTTGGAGAAAGGGTAAGAGCGTCTGTGTCTACAGATTAATCCTCATTATACACATTATATATTAACAGCTTCATGTACAGTTTGCACGTTAAATATCAGATAATTGAAGGGTTTTGCCTATTCTAGTGTTAGCATGTAGCAGGCGACGTGTGTTAGCAATGTTAGCTACCTTAGCTACACAGCTTGTCTGAGTCATTGTCGGTCTGCTTTTACTCACTTTTGGACGCCTAGTTTTAATTATCTATGCTTTTAGTTAAAACATGTCAGGCTAAACAGAGTAGTGTTTATGGATGATATTAGCGCCCTTAGCTTAGTTTAGCTGTTAGCCCCTCCCCCGTAGGCGTGTTTGCTGCAGCTTTCCTTCTCCTCTCACTGTACCTGCACAGATGTTACTCCTGGTCTGTGTCAGGCTGTGATTCACTCAGAGGCTCGTTGTAATCTCGCCTCTTGTCGATGTTTTCGTGGACTCAGAGTTTCTCTTCATCAGTGAGGAGGTCTCCATCACTCTGTTTGCATCAGGTCATGTTCCTCCTGCTGGGCTGAGGTGAATCTTTCTCTCTCTCCTCCTTTAACCGCCTCCTATGTTCCCTTTGCAGTAAAGATCAGAGTCGTGCTCCTCCGTCTGTTGCTCAGGGCCTCCACTGGCTCCTGTTTTCTTAGGAGAGGCTTTGTTTGAAGCTTTTTCTACCTCATTGTGTCTCAGCAGAAATAAGACTTGCCACCACAGAAGAAAAGGAGCTCCTGCTCACTTTGACCACATTAAGTTCCTGTCATCTTTGAAGACCTTTTCCAGCGCCTGTTTCCTTCTTTATCTTGGCTCTCTGTGCTGAATCCAGAGAGCAGGACAGACTTTTTGATATCATGTCTCAGAAGACGCAGGCTGACGGCGCTCAGAAACACTTCGCTGTGGGTCGGGGGCTCCTGGCCGCTGCAGAAACCTTGAACTTCAACATGAACGAGCAGCGTCCCAACAGACCAATGGGGGTGGGGGTCGGTGTGGGCATGGGCATGGGCATGGAGGGCCAGGACGGCAGCGGGCAGATGCCCCGACGTGGCAGCGGCGGTGGCGGCAGCACCAGCAATCTTGGCAGCACAATGAAGCTGTTTGCCAGTTTGGGGCTGTCGCCCTCTGACCTGGACGCTCTGGCTGAAATCCCTGAGGAGGAGATCAGTGTGGAGACGCTGCCACACATCCTCAGACAGCTGAAGAGTCGCAAGGGGGAAGCAGGAGAGCGGCGGGCGGCCATGTCCTCTGATGCTGCGTATCGAGGAGGAAGCTGGGAAGAGGGGCACGTGGGGAGGATGGGCGTTTCTTCTCTGGGACAAGGTTCAGCCAAGTCCTCCACAGACTTTGGGTACAGCTCCCTGCAGGACGTCTCCTCCAGCCGGGGCTACGGCTTAAATTACAGCGGTGGAGGTGGAGGTGGGAGCAGAGAGAGGCCATACTCTGAGCTTTCCCACCGCAGTGGGCTCGGCATGGGCCCGTCTGAGCCCGTCTTTATGCAGAGGAGGATGGGCTCCCCGTCAAACGGAAAAGTCCAAGACTTCTTGGGAGTCATGCCCCCCATGTTCCCCCACGTGTGCTCTCTTTGTGACTTTGACGTTCATTCCACCATGGTGAGTACGTCCAACCTGCTTCCTCTTTTCTTCTCGGACTAACTGTAAATGTTTGAGCTCCAGTCTTCCTTCAGTCAGTGACAGGCGCTGATTCAGGTCCGGTTTACTTCATATAATTTCCTTGTTGTATCTCCTCACAGCATGTTCCCTCTCTCCATTTTCTCAGCTGAAGCTCTCCAGCATTGAACAATTAGATTTGGATCTTTCCAGCGGTCATCCAATCAAACCAAAAATCTCTTTTTATAATTAGTATCTGTTCACATGAGCTGGTAAAGCTGTTAATGTTACACATTCAGTCTGATTTACTTGATCTTTTCACTTCATTAGCTTTAACAAAGTCCTGGGAGGATCTTGATTCGCTCCTTGTGTCTCCAACATGAAACATTTAAAGCTCCTCACACATTCATGGACTTATCGAATTGGCAGCTTTTAAACCTGTGAGACTTTTGGCAGCTGGGGTCTTGTGTTTGTTTTTCTTTAGTTTGTGGTGTTAGGGTTTCTTCTGGGGCATTAAGTATGAACTTTTAAAAAAGGAATTAAGGTCTTAAAATATTCTATTTCCCAAGCCTTTGCTAAAGATTTGAGAAATATATACATGGTATTTTATAACCTTCTTAAAATCAGTGACACTTTTAAAGGTTACTGTTTTGTCTAGCCAGTTTAGAATCCAAAAAGATCCACATTACTCTTTTCTTTTCTTGGAAAAAAGGCATCAAATGCTGTTTTTTTTGTTTTTTAAAATCTTTTCTAAATGATCTTAAAAAGCACTATGTTAAGTTTTAAAATGGTACAGGAACCGTTTTATCATACCCTTTAAGTAACAGGTGATAACATTTTTTTTTACTTTGTTTTTGTTTTGTATTTTAAACTATTCCCTGGGTGCTTTTCTGAATGAACCACTTAAGGTTAATAACTGTTTGAACTGGACCTTTAATATAGAGGTTCCATATTAGGAAATGAAATGGTTTGAGCGTCACTCATTCTCTAGATGTGTTTGTAGGAGTGGAATCAACACATTAATGGACTCCGCCATGCTGAAAACAGACGGCAGCTTCTTGACATGTGAGTCGCTCTTAATACACAACAGTGAGCCAAAACATTGAAACCATCTGCAGTCAGTCAAGATGTGTCACCTACTTGGTTTATGCTGGATTGAACTCAGAGGTCTTTCCCTCTTTAATAGATGTTTAATATTGTGTGAATGTTTTTTTGTTTGTTTTTTCTTTAAGGTATCCTGAGTGGGATCCCGGTATGGGCTCAGGCAGAGGGTAAGAGACACTGATACTGTTAGTAAAACAGTAATTATAGTGTAGAAAATAATTCATCTGCTGCTCTCTGTAATCATAACTGAATTGTGGACTCCATTTCTAAGCTAAGTGATAGCAATGATAGCATTAGCATTTCTAAGTTAGCTTGTGATGTCATTGAAGCACTCAGAAGTGAAATCATGACATGGACTAGCAGAGTCGGCCCACATGCTGCTACAGGCAACTGAGGGGGACATTACACTTCAGTCTGTTCACACACTGGAAGTAAAAATACTTTAATACTTCAAATTAAAGTAAAATCTGTGATAGACTGCAGATGAGAATCAGACATCATATCATAAAAAAATCAAATTCTGGGGTTCACAGACTCTTTGCAGCTTCTATAGCTTGTTTGTGCTAATTGAGTAATTTTTATATTGTATTACATCATATTAGATTTTGTTCTAATAATCCAGATGTTTGATAACTGACTCACACCCTAGTTCATTTATTTCCAGTGGAGGTCTCTCAGAGACCCCCAACCTGTCTGCAGGGCTGCTGGGTCCCGCCCCCATGTCTTCAGGACCAATGGGAGGGATGTCCTCGAGCTGGGGTAAGATACATGCAGATGCCTTTTTTTTTCCTTCTAATTATTACTGTTATCATTATTGCTGGAGGTTTTAGTCCACTCCAGGACATAAATCGGTCTTAACTTATCCTTATGTATTTTTTGAAATTTGAAAGCAGGAGGGCTGATCGTGATATTTTAAATCCATATTTTTTTTAGTATAATGAACGTTTATTTGTTCATTTAATGTACTGACTTCACTTGCATCCTTAACTTAGTCTTTTTACTCAATTTAATTTAGTTACTTTAGCTTATTATAATATGGTAAATGGCCTGCATTTGTATAGCGCTTTTCTAGTCCCTAAGGACCCCAAAGCGCTTCACACTACATTCAGTCATTCACCCATTCACACACTGGCGATGGCAAGCTACATTGTAGCCACAGCTGCCCTGGGGCGCACTGACAGAGGCGAGTACAAATATACTCATTTAATTACTATGCTTATGTAATTAAAGGAATTATGTAAATTATCTTTAATTTTGTTTCAATACTTAGTTGTCTGTCTTATTTACTTTACTTATCTTACTGTACATACTGTACTTACTTTACTTACTTACCTAGTTCTTATTTTCCCTCATTTACTAGCTGTACTTGCTTTACATATCTTACTTTACCTTCTTTAGTTACGCACATTCTTTTCTTACTACACCTAGTTTTGTTACCTATAGGGATGGAAACGAGTACGAGTACTTGCATTTGAGTACTCGCCGATACCGAG